AATAAACCCATAACAATGAGTAACTGTAATGATAAATTCGGAAAAATGCATTTTCTGGGCTTTTCTTTTAATTTGCTCTTGCCACATAAATTCACTAAAATAGGTTGAGAGAGTTTCTGTCTCTGAACCAAACAAACATTCTTGTAATTTTAGATTTTAGGCAAGATCACACTCAATATTTTGAGTACCTATTACCCTACTCATTGAATGGACAAAGTTTTCCTTGCTTTTAATTATAGAATGTCTTTCTTTTTTTTTAACACTGCAAATACTGCATTGTCATTGGTTAACATATTTTATAATTTTTTTAATAAAAAGATATTTTTAAATTTGTTTCTTTATCAAATGGTAAATAATAAATACTTATAAAAAGGTGAATAATACTGTCTGCCAAAACAAAAAGGTATACACACTTAGGAAAGAATAAACTTGTCTTCTGTAGTTTTATTACATTGCACTATTTACTGTAATTAGTATATTTTCCTGATTAACATTTGCAGATTCTTACCTATGGGGAACCCTAAAGGATGTTTTTCATTGAAGAAAACTAACTACATTGGCAACCCTTAGACAAGAAATGGAAAATGCATGTGCAGTGATCCCACTAGACACAACAACACTGTTTATTGTAGTATTTTCTTGAGAGATGGCATTACTGTCATTGTTGTAGCCTGAAGTCCTAAAGGATGTTGTGTATCATAGAAAACGACTACATTGGTGATCCATAGATAAGAAATTGAAAATGCATGTGCAGCAATCTCACTGGACAATTTGGCCAATATTGCTCAAGCAGTAGTTTGCCATATAATAAATGCCTGGAAGCTAAAGCCCACCATTAAGAGCATCTCTTGTGATTATAGTATCCAAAAGTAACTTGTATTAATCTTGTGTTGTCTGAATAAATTTAGTATTACAAAATCTATACAAGTTTTTCCTTTCCTGAAATATGCATACAGTTTTTTGGTGAACTCTGTATTTATAAAAGGTAAATAATAAATATCATATTGTGCTTGGTTCATATATTTTTATAATCTTCTAAATAAACATTTACAGGGAGTAAAAAAGAAAAATACTGTGTAATTGTGATGTCAAGGGAATAACTGTCCATATACCATTTTTTTTGTGGGTATAAAGGTTAGAAATTACCAAAAGTTAATTTCATAAAGCTGGTAATTGTATTAGTTACTAAATAATATTAAAGAATTTTTACCAGATTTATAAAAATAACCTTTCTTAATATGGCTACATCTGAACACACAATTATACTACACTGTGCCATAGTAAAGAATACCTGCTACCCACTTTTTTTTAGTGACATGATGACTTTGAATACCATAGGGAAATGATAGCAGCTTCCGCAAAGATATTGAACTGTGTGCAAAGTACTAACAGAGCAAATTTCTGATCAATATTATTGATTTTGTGGAATTAGCTTTCAGATAGCCAACATTGCATAATTTTCTTACTGAACAATGACACAATAATAGCAGAAAGATTCACATGTGAAACAGAGGCTATTTGCTGTTGGTTACCTTTTATTCAACATTTAAAGCAGTTTTCACTCTATGGGTTATGTCCCTTAACGACATGATTGAACATAGCCCTCCACAACTTCCTATTCTATGTAGTTCTTACCAATGTTTGTCTTTAGTATCCCTCCCACACCCTGTTCTGTCATTCATTTACACAAATTTGTTAGGTAGATTACTGTTTTCCTCTGTATTGCTTGCCTTCAATAAGTCCTGTGAGTGTCAAATTCTCCAACCACTTTCCTCATTATTTGTCCTGTAAATTTGAGCTCTGATTCTAATTGTCTTTTTAGCTTCAATTTTCCTTAATACTTCCTCATTATTCATATGTTCAGTCAATGGTATTCTCAGCATCCTTATATATATATATATATATATATGATTAATACAAATATAAAATTTGTCACTTCTTTTTTTTTTAAGCATTTCACCCCAAGCAAGATGGAAGTGCCACTAGTGCACAAGGGGTTACAGAGAGTGAAGATAAGAAATAAGACTGGATATAGGGGAGGATTGAGAAAAGAATAAAAAGAAGAATGGGAATGAAAGTATCAGAAGATGATGATTGACATTACATTTAAATTTTTGGAGATTGTAGTTACTGGTGAAGCAAGTAAGAGGAAAGTAGTTCCACTGTTGGGAAGTACGAGAGAAGAAGACATTGGAATAGAAGAGGGGGTTACATTTAACTGTTTCAACAGTAAAAGGGTGGGACCTAGATGCCAACTTAGTACAACATTTAAATTCATGCAGTCAGGTCACTAAGGAAAATTGCTCGTCAGAGCATTTGCGATAAAAATATTTGTAGAAGAGACAGAGAGAAGCCATATCACATTTCTGAGAAAGTGACTGGAGTCAAGGTGCCAAGTCAGGAATAATCAGATTGATGTTTATTCAGTACCTCTATTCCAGTTTCATAGACAAACCTTTGTGTAATTGTTCAATCCACACACACATGCACACGTGTGTGTGGGGGGGGACTGCTCCACTATCATTACATTACAGCATAAAGATCAATATTTAAATTATGCAATGGTCAGTTTTTATTCAGCACCTGATGATTACATTGTGCATAAAACTCAGTTGTGCTACTGGTAAGGACAGAAAAAAAAAAAAGAAGCAAAACCTTTCTTTTAAACATCTTTCATTAAATGTGATAGACAAGGAAAATTTCATTAATTTTATTTAGTTTATATATTAGTCTGCCTCTCAACTGGAAAATCAATATTAAATAACCATATAAAACTCATCCCCCACTTTAGATCCACCACATTCCACTTATTTTTGTCTCGAGAAACCTACTGTTGAAATAGAAGGATCAGTATTTCACTTTATTGAAACACACAATTAATCCTCCATTTTATGTGCACATGATGATCTCTGGTTTGTCAATTTAATATTGATTACCAATATGTTCTTTGAAGTGAGTTTTAACTCCTATTTTTTATTTTCAAAATTAATGGGCAAACTTTGTCAATTAGGAATTTTCCATATTTTTTGGTTCTATTTCATTCAGCACATTTTGATCAAACCAAGAATTGCCAAACATTTTTTTTAAAGTGCAGTTATTCTTCATTAATTACTGCAGATTGCTTCCAGTACCAGTATGGATACCAAAATTCATAGATACTCACAGTTACATGCAAAAGTGGGAGCAGAGGGTGTCTCCGACATTCATATCAGGAGGGCATCCAAAGAGTAGAATAAAATTTGGTTTATATTTAATTTAAATGAAGTGTTTATGTTTCATCTGTTTTTGAGTCAGTTATGTGCCAAGCATGATACACACTTAGGCGATCATGTATCTTTCAATATATGACTGCCAAGGCAAATTTTTTCCTGCAGTAGGTTACCATTTCTTTCTGTGGTACACCAGTTGCCATCCAAGGCTATAGAACCCAGTCTGCCCTACTATTTACCCATAGCTAGGGAGAAGAAGAAGAGGATTCATACCTTTCCCAAGGGTATTAACACATAAGTGAATGTAATGAATCTGACTGGAATTTGAACTCTACTCTCCTATTTCTCAACCCAAGCCACTATCCATTACTTCACTGTGTCTCCATCTGTTTTCACATATTTAAAATGTCTTCTCACATTTCTCAGTACTAGGCCCTATAGGCCCCTCTACTCGAGTTTTAGGGCTATAAAATCAAGGAGTTGGCCCTGGGCATCACCAAACCTCCGTACATCACTGAATACTCAAGCCTTTTATATAAAATAGTATTTGTGTATACATTCTTGTTAAGGCAATTTATCTATGCATGCATGGATGCTCCCAGCTATAAATAGGAGCAGGTACTGCCTTTTGGAGAGGAAAGTTTCCAGCAGTCAGCTCTGAAAGTCGAACCAGACATTCTTGCTGTAACACTCGTTTATATCTGTTTGTAGTATTGTTTCTGTTAATATATTTGTTTAACTCAATTCCTCTTTTATGTCTTTATTTCTGGCCCTAACAAGGCTATAACAATTCTCTCATATCATTTCTATATTACTTGGATATTCTTGCAGGTGTGCTACAGAGTAACACTTTGGCATCCTATATCTTCTTTTGCTTGGATTACATTCTCAGAACTTTTGTCAGTGCCATTAAAAGACAATAGAATCACACTACATCAACAAAGAAGTAATAGATATACTGCCACAAAACTCACAAATGCAGTTTACACATATGATTTAATGCTACTCTCCAATCTAATAAGCTAAGCAGAAACCCTTCTTCATAATTTTGAACATTCAGCCAAAAGGTATTGGTCCCCATGTTAACTCAGATAAAACAGACTACATAAGCTTGCTTGATTGATTGTTTGTACGGCTTATCAACCCTTTACAGGTTATTAAAAGTCAGACAATATTTTTAGATTGTAAGATTTTTTTTTTTGCCATTTTTGTAATGCCAACGAATACTTACTGTCACTTTTGTAAATGCCCTTAGTAGAGACTTTGTAATCTTAGATACAACTATAGTATGCCATTGAACAATACTGGTGTCAAACGCCTTCAAATAAACTCACACTAATAGTACTTGCTCGATAATACTCACTCAAATAGTAATCCGTATAGCGATCCAAAAAGAGAAATAGTATAGTAAATAAAGTAGAGAATAGCGGTCTGTATGGTATAGAGGATAGACTAGAAATAGTGATCTGAATAGTAATAGAGGATAGACTACAAATGCAGATCGTTAGATGTCAGCTACTTCCTACATATGTGTTTCCTCTATGGCCATGTGGTCTACTTAATTCAATAATGGGATCACCTATGTTTTCTCAATGGCGATCTATATTCAAACTCAAGTGTCGGCAGTGACACTTTATTCCTATATAACAGTGATATAATTCTTATTTCAGTGATGGGGGAGAAGAGATGGATTCATAGCTTCCCTGATGGTATTTGCACATAAGTGAATATAACAAACTCAAATTGAATTGGAATTCAGCTTTCCAATTAACAGTTCTGATCATTATCCATTACACCACCCTGGTATTCCCAAGTGGTCACCCATCTTGGTACTGAACCAGCTTGACATTGCTTAACTTCCCTGATTCTATGGAAACCAGTATTTCAACTTATGTGGCCATAAGCCACATAAGCTTAAATCAAATTGGAACAATCAAAACAAAACAGTATCTGGCACACCTCTCAATTGTGTAGAAGAATTTACTTATCTAGGTAGTAAAATCTGTAGCTGAGAAATTGATGTAAATACACGCATTGGTAAAGCCTGGGGTGTTGTCGACAAGTTGTCTCTGATGATGAAATCTAAACTTCCAGACAACATGGAAAGGAGCCTCTTTCATACAACTGTTCTATTCTATGGCTGCTCAGCATGGACCCTTACCTCAAAAAATGGAAAGACAATTGGATGGAGCCTACACAGGTCAGTTGGAGAGATCATCTAACCAAGGAGCAATTGTATGGGAACCTTCATCCAGTTTCAGATTTCATCAAAGAGCATAGTCAGATTCATTGCTGGAGAGCTAAAGACAAAATTGTTAGCAAAGTTCTTTTGTGGGAGCCTACAAAAGGAAGAGCTAGCAGAGGATGTCAAAGACCAATAACAATTAGATTTGTGACAATATAAACTATAATCCCTCTGACGTGCCGAATGTCATGAACAATAGAATTAGATGGAACAGACACTCACTAGAATGGTACAAGCAGTGTGACTGTATTACTACTACTTATAATATTTAATGTAAGTGCAATGTTAATAGTTGTTATATGTTGAATATCTGTCTATATCTCTGAGATGAGGTATTATGATTATTTACATTATTCAAACTGTTATCCTCATCTTCATTGCCATATTCACAACATTTTGTTCGTTGCATGCTTCGGCCTTCTTCAGCTGATTGGAATTTCAAACTGAACCCTTTATTTCGTCCACTGGGCCCAGTGGATAAAGGCATTGGTTAGATCCAGTGACTAAACTCAGAGTTGGGAGTTCAATACCAGGCTACAGCAGTAGTGAACCAAAAACTTGGAGAGTAGAGTTAAAGGGAAATAACTGAGACATCTCGAAGAGGCATGGCATGTGGAAGTAGGACAATCTACCCCCTGTGAACGAAATAAAGGGTTCAGTTGAAAATTCCAATCACCTGGAGAAGGCCAGAGAATACAACAGTCGAAACGTTGTGAATCTGGCAATGAAGATGAGGATAACAGTCTGAATGATGTAAATAATTGTTATATGTTGGTATCAGTAAAATAATTCACCAGGAACTTGATACCTGACAGAGGAAAAATCAAAATGAAATTTTCTGTGACATTAATAAGAATATTGGAGAATATTATTAAAAAAGAAAATAAAATTAACTAATATTATTATAAGAGTAAACTATATTCAATAAATCAATGTACTTATCTAACTGACCTACTTCAGAGTTTCACATAATAACATATATCACGGTCAGACAGTATGTTAAATCTCACCTTGATGAGCAGTATTACATGTGGGACTGGAGTTGGTCAATGAGATAAGTCCATTGAATATTTATTAATTCATTGAATATTGTTGCTTTAGTTATCTATTAATCATTAAGCTTAATATTATGCACTTCTTCGGCAAAAATTCCATTATCCTTAAAATGATGTTAAATTCTAGTAATTTTTACATATTTTGATAGGTGATTTAAGTTTTATTATTATTAGTAGTAGTAGTAGTAAACTAAAATGAACCTGCAATATTTGCAAGAAGTCGTTTTTTTTTTACTAAAAAAAAAACTTTTTACTTTTCAACAAAATACAAAATGAAAAAAAAAATTTTTTTGTAAATTCAACAAAAAATTAAAAGACACTGAAAAAAAATAAAATAAAAATAAAACAAACAACTGAAACTCAAATAATCATTGGAGACTTCAGTACTTCTATAAATGTATTTCTTCTTCCTATCCGAATAAATAAATGCCAAATTCTGTCTGTCTGTCCGTTCACGTGTCTGAAACCCCTCTAACTCAAGTTACATTTGCTCTACATAGAAATATACCTTTTTGGAATCAAGATGATCCTGGAATTGAAGATTTGCCCTTCATTTGGTCCTTGAACATCCAGCATTGGGATTTGTATCCAGATGAGAAAGGAACAGTTAAAAATTCAAATTTTAAAATAATTTTTTAGTTTTTAATTCACAGTTTTGAAGTTTCACAGAGTTTGTGATTTGAAGAACTCAATTTTTGGCCTGAATTGGAATTTTGGCCCAAATCAGAGTTTCAAATCAGTCTTTTGGCGAAAATTGAACTTATAGCCCAAATCAGTGTTAAAGTGAGGTTTTGTAGAACCATGGAGTGACTTGAGGAATTCAAAATTACTTCTTCAAAATTCTCATTGCTGTTTTCTAAGCTAGACCAGAGGTTCTTTTAGTTTGAGGCCAGAAGCTTAATTAGCCCCCACACCGATTTCAAATTTTAAGCTAGTATTTAATAAAGGACTCTATTCTTTGTTTCTATATGTAGATTCCATATTAAATTAAAAAAAAAAAGTTTTACACAACTCAATGATGATAATTTACCCATTGGACCCAATATATTACACACAATTTTTAATTTCAACAATTATTTAGTCTTGGGTATAACGATAAAATACATCTGATCTGGAAATTGGAGGTTTTGAGGCATGTGGAACCACTTCTTAATTGCTGTTGTTACCAGGTTCACCCTGTCCCAGGGTGGTAGCACCTGTTAGGGTCCCAGCTATGGGAAAATAGTGAACCCCCCAAACAAAAACAAAACACTATGAAAGTATAAAAATACATTTTCATAGTAATAATACCAGCAATATATTTTTATACAAAAAAAAATTACCAACAATACATATTTGTAGTGAAATTACCAACAATACATTTTATCTGTTGTTGAAGACACAATTGTGTTCAAAATATTTAGATTTCGACATTAAATAACCCATAGAGGTTGATATACTGCTAAACTAAATAAACAATCATTATAAAGCAAATTCTTATTTAAATTTACTTAAATAATCTAAAACAATAAATTAAAAATTAAAGAAATTTGGTGGGGCGAAAGAACTGGAGTTAGAGAGAATGATGTAGAGCAGAAGGAGAACAAATAGAAGCCAAGTGAAAGAACAGAGGCTGGGGCAGATCGAAAAAATGGCAGATGAAGCAATCATAGGAGGATGGAGAAGGAACCTCAGTAAAGTGAAGGAAGTAGTGCAGGGTGGAAGCAGAATGCTAGCGTAGTAAAGTAACCAGGAAAAATAATGCTAACCAAGTAAAGGAACCAGGAAAAATGCTGCTAACCAAGTAAAGGAACCAGGAAAAATAACGCTAACCAAGTAAAGAGACCAGGAAAAATGCTGCTAACCAAGTAAAGGAACCAGGAAAAAGGCTGCTAACCAAGTAAAGGAACCAGGAAAAAGGCTGTTAACCAAGGAAAGGAACCAGGAAAAATAACGCTAACCAAGTAAAGAAACCAGGAAAAATAATGCTAACCAAGTAAAGGAACCAGGAAAAATAACGCTAACCCAGTAAAGGAACCAGGAAAAATGCTGCTAACCAAGTAAAGGAACCAGAAAAAATAATGCTAACCAAGTAAAGGAACCAGGAAAAATGCTGCTAACCAAGAAAAGGAACCAGGAAAAATGCTGCTAACCAAGTAAAGGAACCAGGAAAAATGCTGCTAACCAAGTAAAGGAACCAGGAAAAATAACGCTAACCAAGTAAAGAGACCAGGAAAAATGCTGCTAACCAAGTAAAGAACCAGAAAAAATAACACTAACCAAGTAAAGAAACCAGAAAAAAATAACACTAACCAAGTAAAGAAACCAGGAAAAATAATGCTAACCAAGTAAAGGAACCAGGAAAAATGCTGCTAACCCAGTAAAGGAACCAGGAAAAATGCTGCTAACCCAGTAAAGGAACCAGGAAAAATGCTGCTAACCAAGTAAAGGAACCAGAAAAAATGCTGCTAACCAAGTAAAGGAACCAGGAAAAATGCTGCTAACCAAGTAAAGGAACCAGGAAAAATGCTGCTAACCAAGTAAAGGAACCAGGAAAAATGCTGCTAACCAAGTAAAGGAACCAGGAAAAATGCTGCTAACCAAGTAAAGGAACCAGGAAAAATGCTGCTAACCAAGTAAAGGAACCAGGAAAAATGCTGCTAACCAAGTAAAGGAACCAGGAAAAATGCTGCTAACCAAGGAAAGGGACCAGGAAAAATGCTGCTAACCAGGTAAAGGAACCAGGAAAAATGCTGCTAACCAAGTAAAGGAACCAGGAAAAATAACGCTAACCAAGTAAAGGGACCAGAAAAAATAACGCTAACCAAGTAAAGGGACCAGAAAAAATAACGCTAACCAAGTAAAGGGACCAGAAAAAATAACGCTAACCCAGTAAAGGAACCAGGAAAAATGCTGCTAACCAAGTAAAGGAACCAGGAAAAATGCTGCTAACCAAGTAAAGGAACCAGGAAAAATGCTGCTAACCAAGTAAAGGCACCAGGAAACCTAACGCTAACCAAGTAAAGGCACCAGGAAACATAACGCTAACCAAGTAAAGGCACCAGGAAAAATAATGCTAACCAAGTAAAGGGACCAGGAAAAATAACGCTAACCAAGTAAAGGAACCAGGAAAAATGCTGCTAACCAAGTAAAGGAACCAGGAAAAATAACGCTAACCAAGTAAAGGAAAGCTATGGCAGTAAAGCAATGGGAGGAAAGGAACGTCAGCAAAGTAAGGAATGTGATGGAACATGAGAGACATTTAGGTGGGGTAGAGAAGTTGCAGGACTGGGATAGGTAAAAGAGTTACCATCCTTCATTGTAAAGAGCTCTTGTCATATCACCTTTACCAAAAAGAAGCACATCACTGCAACTGGGAAAGTAGACAGAAGAAGAGAAGTAGAGGGCCATCATGTATGTTGCAGGTAGGGAGCCACTGAAATATGGAATTAGTATACATTCACACACTTAAGTGCATGAGTACATTTTAAGCCGTTTTTTCTACAGCAGATTCAAACATTCCCAACACTATTTTTTCAAAACATGTTGTTATAAGTAGATATATTTGTCTAATACCTGTATCACACTCCTCCCTGGTCTTTTGAACAGGAG